CAAAAACAAACATGTCTGATTAGGTAAAGCTTCACTTGCAGTAGGTCAGTTTCCAAGAGTGCTCTTAGAGGCTCTAACACTGAGCATGTGTGCCAACATCGTTAATGCCTGTAACTAAGTTTTGTTTAAATATTGAAAGACAATCCCATGAATTTCCATTACTTAACCTAAAGCAATTACTTGGGAAATAATACACCCAATATCGCAACATACGGGAGTAAATGAGATTCAAGTGAACAGCTGACAGGTCAATGGCAAATGTGGGATAATTTTTAAAACAAAGCAAAATATGTAAGAGTTGAAAGTTTTCCTTCTAGTAGGAAAAGACTTAGTGACCTCAACACTTTTTACACTGGACAAGAGGGGTACAAGTTTCTCGAGAACAAACAGGACAACAGTACGGAAGAAAATGTACAATTATTGACAAATTAAAAAAAAAAAACATGAGCCCAAAGTTCCAAACTTGACATCGGTTTAACTAAAATTTAATTGTGGTAACTAAAGGGACTTCAATTATAATGCTAATTCATCTTTTATCCCTTCCCTTGTGCTGTTCTTTCTCCACTTTCTGTTCTTTGCTGAAATGACTAAAAGGACATACGGGATAAGACAAGACTCAGCAGGCTGGTCTGGAAGGGGAAACCAGGCAGATTAAATAGTATTATATTAGGGGCTAAGTTATGCAGACAGGTTTCCAAAAAACTTAAGAGATTGCAGATGCTGGAGTCAGAGCTAACTCAGTGTGGAGCAGGAGGAGCAGAGCCATTTCTGAAGAAGGATCCTGACTCGAAACTTCAACTTTCCTGCTCCTCTGATGCTGCCTGGCCTCCTCCAGCTCCATACTGTGTGTTAGTTCCAAAACTTGAGATGGTGTCTTTAGGTTCAGGAATGATAAAATGGGAGGTGTGGGGGGAGAAGAAGAAAAAAAAAAGAAAGAGGTTTGAAGGAAAAGATACAAAGAGAGACATTTCCTCTGATCAGGCAATTTAGAACAACAGAGTAATCAATCTTAAAAATTATAGGAGGAACATTTTTTCCCTTCAGGGTTGAAATCAGTGAACAGTTTCTCTCCTGCATTAAAAGCTATTGGAAATCTCTGGAAGTTAGCCAAATGAAATTGAGATAAAGATTTTAGTGATGAAACAGGTTTGAAGGGGTGCATGATCATGTTCCTACATTCATCTGTTGGAATCCAGGCTGATTTTCCACATTCTAAAGTGGAAGATTGCCACCAATAGATCACTCTTACCACCAAGCTGAGTAAGATCAGCTAACCATAATCTTTCTGGTGTATATACATTAGTCACTCACTGACTCCAGCAGCCTAAGCATTAAAAAAAAAATCACAAGAGTCATCCCTAGGTGAGATGTTTGAGCTATATTTTAAGCAATAACACTTTAGTTGCCCAGTCATACAGTGCAGTTCAAATCATTTGCCATACTGGATTCACTTTGCATTGGTTCGATAGCAATAATTCAGTTGTGAAGCTACTTTGAAAACAGTAAAGAAGCTGTTGTCTTTACAGGTGCATAAAATTTACCAAACACAAAGAAAGGATTTAAACTGGCCATTAAAGCAGTACCATCTACCAATCCCTGGGAGTAGTGTTTCCTGAGAATAGAGTATTATGGTTGTACCAACACAAAAACTTTTGGCAAATGCTAAACTTGAAATGATTTAATTGAAATAAGAAATCTAAATAAAAGTTTTGCTGACTTAACATGCTCAGTGCACAGAATAAGAGAGACACACTGTGAAGGCAAAACAAAGCTATTTGTTAGTGTGGTTAGATTAATTAGTGCACAGCTATTATTTCCTCTCACACTACACGACCAATCCATTGAGGTGAAGAACAGCACAAAAGAAACAAAGCAGAAGGAAGAATGCAAGGAGATGACAAGCCATTCAGTCAGAACACATCAAGAATCACCCTGGTTCATACATGGAGTTCGGTTGTTATGTTAAACAGAACATTGCCATCAAGAGGAAAAACATACACAAATATTAGATATAAATGTGTATGGAGAAAGATATTCTTATCCCAAAAGCAGCATAAATGCAAATTTGAGGGGAATTTGTAAAGGTACATGCACAGCACAAAATTGTAGACTGGTTGTGTAAATTTTCACTTCTGTCAGTGTTGCACATCAATTACCAATTAACAAGATCAGAATATCTTATTTTCCCATTATAGGAAGCACATAAAAAGGGGAAGAAAAAGGAGGACAGGTTGTTATTATTGCATATTTATTCCTACTGTTTCAGCACATTAGTTTAAAAAAAAGGATTGCTACCAATTTAGCATCCTTGTGCTGTGGCTAAGTTATATATGCAGATATAAACAATATAAATAAAAACCGCTTTCATGCGAGCATGCTTTAAACGATCAGCAAACAAAACAAAATGGCAGCACACAGTCAGGAACTATGAACTTTAAGCCAATATTCAACTGTCCTAGTTGGGAACACAGTAAATTATGTAGGAAAATAAAACTTAAAATTGAAAAGGTTTATCTGCACATTTCTAACTAAAAAGTTTTAGAATACAGCATCCAGAATAGCTGTTAGCTTAACTACACAGAATAACTTTGAGAGTTACTTTCAGTGTATTAATGCTTCTAGTTGCAAGTAGTGTTTCAAGTTGAGGAGCCTGATCTTCAACTCCAGAAGAATTTTATGGATCTGAGTTCAAGTACATTTTCTAATTGCGTTGAACACATATTAGAGCACATTGAAACTAGAGCTATGAAAACTATTCAACTCATGGTGTTAAACCTCTAGCTCTCACTACATGGAGTTTGGAATCCTCAAATAGTGGGTTACCATACCGACCTGAAAAGGTGCTGCTGTATATTTGTGCAGGCTCCTACAGTGGAGCTGAATCCATCTACAAATACAGAATAAAATAAGTTATCAAGATTCCCAGAGTAACTGACATTGGAAATAATGGAGTAGTTTACTGCTTTCAGAGGAATGCATAAATTTCTTCCCAAGTCTCTCAACTCAATAAAGGTCACACAAATTTTACACTACCATTTGCCAACAACTGGACTTCTTAAAACAAATGTAGCAAAAAAAAATTAATAGGTTCCTCCATAAATGAAAATTATATTAATTTAATATATTATCAAACTATCGAACAGGGATTTAAACCAAATGACTGCAGTAAATGTGCACACAAATACAGCAACAATTTAATATCACTCCATAATACTACTGAAACATGTTGCACTTTAGTCAGAGAGCGGAAGTTCTGGGGTGGGGAGAAACAAACAAACAAACTACCCCAAAGCTGTAGTCAAATGGACAATGCATTTCCATTCTCCTAGAACATGCTACAAACAACATGCAATAATCCAGATTATTCGCTGCCAAGATAATCAACTAATAGCTGTGAAAACTAATGTTATTAATGATTCATAGCGATTATACAAATAAAAGTTTTATTGGGGAAATCCTTTACACACTGATCAAAAAAAAAAGTGTAATGGAAAATTTTATTCTAATTTGACCTCTATTGCTAACTGTGTGCTGCCACAGCGATTGGTAGATGACTGCAAAAAATGAAATTACCGCAAACTCAGAATAAGTGGTGGCAACTGAATTTATGCTGAGATTATGCTGTGGGGTGGAGACGGTGGACGCACCACTCATTGCTGTTGCATTGAGGTGAGAAATATTCTCTTTGTTCCTTTCAACCAGGCCAAGGCGTGGAGGCTTTGTAGCTGAATATCCTGGTGTGCGCACAGATTGTCCTGGCTTTAAAATAGAAAAAAAAAAGAATTAGAGTGGAAATACTGAAGTCAATAGCATTACTATCACAGTTACAGCAATTGTTTTTGTATTTGAATATTTTTCCCTTGTAATTATCCTTCAAAAATCAGGAGAAACTATTTTGAACTGATGTAACAATAGGGTGAAACACTGACAGCAATTAGAAAGAGTGAATAATTTTACTTCAAAATAGGTTAATATCAAATAAAAGGACTAAAAATGAATCAATAGCATTTTATTAAGGCCACACAATACAGTAAATGAAAATCTGACAATTTCATTGAAGATAGATGGGCTATACTTCAGTGAAATATTGCTAGTCATTAAATTTAGTAACAAAGAAGAAAACGATGTCCAAAGGCAGTTGCATGATCCCTATGCTATTGCTCTGTTTTGTACAATAACACTTGACCAGATGCTAGTTTACAAGTCAGTTTTATAGTATCGTCAGATTGTATAATATGGATTTTACATAACAGAAGATTAAAAGGTATAACTACTAGGTCATGACTGCCTCAAGTAGAATTCTTCCAATGGCTCAGCTAGCATCCAAGAGAATCAAACAGCTGCAATGTTACAATCTAAAAGTTAGTTCAACCAGACTGGATTGTGACTCCCAAACAAGCCAGCACTCTGAGTAGCCTTAAATATTGAAAAATACTCAGGCTATATGCTTAGAAATCTGATTCCTATGCAATAATATTCAAGTAGAAATCAACACCTTCAGGAGCAGGATGAGAGAAAATTGGGGCCTAAATGATTACAGGCAGGAATTTTCGGTAAAGACTATATTAAAAAATTAGTATCTGAAAAACTATACCACTGAAGTGTATTAATCTAATGTAGAGAATAGCAGTGGGCACAAGTGACAAAATAGCTTCTGGAACTGATGCCATTTTATTTTAAACAATCACAATGTATCCTAATGATTGACTCCTTTAATTATAAGCTTAGCCATAAAGATACTGATTGCATATTTGCTTAGGAAAAAAAAAACAATGCAGACTAGCGACTGACCTTGCGTCCTGATAGTGGGGGTCGGGAGATGGGTGAGTAACAAACACTACCGCCAATGGCACAGCGAAGGGTGCTGTTTGGGGTGGCATTGGCGATTGACGTACCATTTAGCTAAGACAAAGCCAGAAAAAAGGAGGAAATATTAATGCATGGGTCTGTTGGGGCAAAAAGAGGAACAGCACAAAACTAGGTTTTAGTAACAACATGGAATGTACAATTAAAAACATACACAAAGCTAAGATTTGTAGCTCAGCAGAAGCAATGCAGATTAGCAAACAGTGCTCCTGGACAATTGGGGGATGGGGAGAGGGGCAGAGGGGCGGAGAGAAGGGACAAAAACTTGCTGGTGAAATTCAGCAGGTCTGACAGCATCTGTGGGGAGAAAGCAGAGTTAATGTTTCAGGTCCAAATGACATTTCTTCAGATGCTTCCAGATCTGCAAAGTTTCGACAGCAAGATCTCTTTTTGCTTCAGAACTCCAGCACTCTTGGTTGTTTGGTTTATGTGACAGTGTGGGTGGGGTGGCGTGGGACAGGATTCAGTCTCCAACAGTAGCCAAATGCTCTTACCTTTCGTAATTTTCCTGGGGTATTCAGTGCATTAAGCCTTCTTTTGTTTGGAGTTTTGGGGGCACTACCATACAGCATCTCCTCCTCAATTAACTTGTTCTTTTTCAGTTGCTGCAATACAAATAACATCCCTTTAAGTCCCAATCACACAACTACTGTTGATTGGAACTTTTACACAATCTGATCATCTTTGACTTTTTGGCTAGATATAACCAAGAAGGACAAATGGGAAAACGTTTCCGGACAGATTCTTTTCACCTTTGAAAACAGAGTGTTCTATGAAATGAGATCGAAAAGAAACACTGCCTTGTGAAAAGAAACCTTTTCAGCTTCACCAGCAGCTCAAATCAATCCAATGAACACACGCAAGACAAAATTGTTAGCCATTGTCACTAGACATATATCAGCATGTCGCATCTTTGCAAATTTACTAACTCAGATTTTATTTGTGCAGAAGGAAGAGAAGTCTGTTCCTCTGCAGCCCTTCTTAAAAGATTAATTAAAGGTCATAACACTGACACAGATCCAAATATTAATCAGATAACAATCCATAATGCAGTACAACCACGGAAAGTTAACTTGAAGCTTGACCTCACCCGCTCTTGTTTCTCTCGCTCTTTCTCCAATTTGTGCAGCTCCCATTGTTCTGTCACATAATCCATGAAATTCTGTCCGTTAACCTGAAACTGGGAATGATGCTCCTGTTCCCAAGTAGCAATTTGAACTTTCAACTCTTCCTCCAGCTAAAACACAGTGATTTTATTTCAGAAGCAACGTAAAGTTCGTTTTTACAGATTTTTATTTGAAGTATTGGACACAATATCCCCTGTGCCAGCACCCCTCCACTTTCCGATTCTGTTATTGAACTTAGGATTCAAATTTATCATGAGACAATCTACTTTATATTCAAGACTGACCAACTGAATTATTTCAGTTGGAAGACAAAAAGGTATTACTTCAGTTTACAGAGGCTTAGACTCCATGTGAAGGATTGGATTCTGTTACGGGCACCTCACAAGCATAAACTGGCCTCTGAGGTGCTACATCATAGATTTAGCAAAATAATGAAGCTATAAGGATTTAAGTTATGGAGGACAGGTTGCGGGAACCCCTGCTGCTGTCATCCAGAGTTTACATGGTTGATGATGATCTAATCGTGTTTACAATGATAAATGGGCACAATATTCAAGAAGGTACTCCAGATCAAGGTGGAACAACTACAGAAAGTAAAGCTAGGCCAAGAAGGAAATCAGTAAGTGCAAAAAAAAAGCAGTGAAAAGATGAAATACTTCAAAAAAAATAAAAAAATACTGCAGACATGGAGACAGATGAAAAGAATTTTACCTAGATGTCTGGAAATAATTTGAAAGGGATAGGCAAAAAAATCTGAAAGGGAAAACTATGATTTAATTAAAATGTTAAAAGCAGTTCAAGGGGCTGAATGGTCTATGCCTGCTCCTACGTTTGCTATCTCAAGTTTTTGAAATCAGGCATAAGCACAAAACGACATAAATATAAATAAATACTATATATTATTGTAATATATTAAACCATAAAGATGCTCATTTAGTAGATAACGTAATCATAAAGGGGTTTGCACAGGTGTGTAATAAACCATGACTCAAACAATTCTATTGGTATATCATTAAAAACAAGTACAAAAATGTGCCATTAGTATCATTAATGACACATTCATGAGTGTCATGGCTTTTATACGTGTCACATTAAACACATAAATCAGGTTACTTACTTTAGGTAGCATTTTGTAAAGCTTTGTTCTTTGCTTCTCCTCTTTTAACAGATTTCCCCCACGGTTGGTGAACCGGTTTGGGTCTGCTGCTTTCTTCTGCAAGAAAATTTTTTTTAAAATATTTTCATATGTTTTACTATCCATCTCAACATTGTTAAATAGTCTGCTCCACTCAAAGTGGTAACCATGAGTTTGAGCTGACTTAATCCCTAATTTTGTTCCTTGGTCAAGAACGTGACTGTTGTATGGTTTGAGCAACAGCAGCATCACAGTATAATGTTCTCGAATCACAGAAGTATTACTGTTTAAAAGTTTTGGCTTCTCACCTCAAAACTCAGATAAAGCTTCCAATTTTCTTCCCACTTCCAAACACCCTCAAACAGTTGCTGGTGTGCTTGGTAGTACTCCTTTAGTCGATTGAGCTCCAGGTTATGTAGCTGCAATAACTCCTCTGTGTAGTCCTCTTTTGAGAAAAGCGAGTGTTTTTTGTAATCAAGATAGAAATCAAATGCAAATAGGTTAAAACATAAACCTAAAATAAATTTCCACTCAAGTGTTGGAATTCAGTTTTAACTTGGTTACATGGTCTAATGTTTAAAAATTTGATAACTCCTAATTCATGACCCCTCTTTCTCTCCACACCCACTTAAAAGATGGGGACACTGCAGCTTCAGGTCAACTCTGCCCTGCTCAACTCCAACTGAAATTGAATGAGAGTCAAATTCCAAACCACACCCCCCCACCCCGCCATTACTTTATATTACCACATCAGTGGACAATCCCACACCTTCTCTTCATCACATTACTTTCCCATAATTTACAACATGCAAAAGAGAGTGTTCAAGGGGCTTTTGGAATATGCAAGGTGGGATAGGGACCTAGGGCAGGCAGAAGGGATTAGTTTAATTTAATTTCATTTTCTGCACAACATCGTGGGCTGAAATAACAGTACAACACAGGAACGGGCCTACGTTCTATGTATTTCAGCCACTGTTCCAACTGGAAGTGATGTTAAAATGTACAGAACCAAACAAGTCAGTGCCTTAACTGCTAATGTGGCAAAGTTCATGAAAACCCACCACTTAGCAATAATAATAATCTGGTTAGAACGCTGCTGAAATATGCAGCAAATGACGTAGAATCTGAATTAAGTGGTAGGCCCCTAACAACTTAAGTACATGAAAGATCTACTCTCCAATCGACTGACTGCAATTACCTCTTTGATCACCACTCAAAAAAAACTTACGAACTGAACAAGTAAAACAGAAACAGCAAATAGCAAAGAAAAGTAAAACAATCTTTACTAAGTATTGCAGTACCCATCAACATCAATGGAAATATTACAATCTCAGCTCATGGAAACACCAACAGAAAAGAACTCAGGCACTATAATATTCTAAAGACCTGTGCCTGCCATGGTATTAAACCTATTTACTTGAAATAAAGTGACAAATTTAAACAAACCATCATGGTATGGAGCAAATTCTTGCCGTTGTGAAGAACTAAAGAAACATTTCTCCCAATACGTTGCCAGCTCTCGTCTGATTGATTCAATCACATTTTTCATGTTCTGTTGTTTAAGGACCTCTAGACGTTCCAACTCTGCCTGCAACTACACCACAAAATACATTATATAAATGTCAGATTCAATTCAACAATGTGGATTGGTCCTCAATAAACCATGGAATGGGATTTAAAGATTGAATATCCATCACAGGATAGAAACAGTTTTTAACGTAGATCAATTTTCTTGCAAGATCACGCATAATTCAGTGTAGTAATGCAGGCTGAGAGAGGAAGGGATGCTCTCAATCCTGATCACATTCCAGTGAACCCTGCTGGATACTATTACGGAAGATACAGATAAAAGTTCATTAAATGGGAGCATTTGAAAAAAAAAGTTAAAAACAAGGATTTGAAATTTCATTCTGCATATATCAACAAGCAAGTATTTGATATATCTGCAATTTATTTACTTAATTCTTTCAAAGTTTTAAACATTTTTTGGAACTAGCTAATCACCCCAATAAAGTTACTGCACATTAAGGATCCATATTCCAAAAGATAAGGTTTTGTTGTACTGGGGCAGGGCTTCTGATGGTATTAAATATATTCTTTAGTTCTGGCTTCAAACAGGAAGGCACAAGTCGCAAAAAAAGAGAGAGGGGTCACAGGGCCAAACGGAAAGGAGGAAATCAAAGAAATTAATATTGTACGGAAACAGTGTCGAGGAAACTAATAAGATTAAAGGCAGATAAATCCCGAGGGCCTTTATAACCTTCATCCTAGATTAGTTAAGTGGACTTCTCCAAAATTCTATAGACTCTGGGTAGCTCCTATGGATTGGAGGGTAATTAAAGCAACCCCAAGATTTAAGAAGGGAGGGAGAGAGAGAGAAAGAAAATAGTGAATTACAGACCAGTTAGCTTGACATCAGTAGTGGGGAAACATGCTGGAGTCCATTATAAAAGATGGAATAGCAGAGCACTTAGAGTGGACAGAGTCAGCATGGTTTTACGAAGGGTCAGACATGCCTGACCACTCTCAGTCAGAGATATACAGCACTGAAAGAGGACCTTCAGCCCATTGAGTCTGCATCAGTCAGAAACAAGCACTTAACTATTCTAATCCTATTTTCCAGTACGTGGCCCATAAGCATGTATGCCTTGACATCATAAGTATATATTGAAATATTTCTTAACTGTTGAGGGTTTCTGCTTCTACCATCCTTACAGGCAGAGCGTTCCAGATTCTCACTGCCCTCTGGGTGGGGGGGAGAAAAAATGTCCACACATTCTTTCCAAACCTCCTGCCCCTTATCTTGAATCTATGCCTCCCGGTCATTGATCCCTCCACCAAGGTGAAAAATTCCTTCCATCTATCCTGTCTATGCCCCTCAATTTTATACATCCCCTCCATTTCCTCTGTTCGAAGGAAAACAACCCCAGTCTATCCAATCTCTCATCATAAACCCTCCAGTCCAGGCAACGCCCAGTAAATCTCCTCTTCACCTTCTCCAGAGTAATCACATCCTTCTCATAATGTGGATTACGGAACTGCGTATAATACACTAGCTGTGTTCTAACCAAATTAGCAAGTATCTCACACACTTTCTTAACCACTTCATCTACCTGTCTGCTACCTAAGGGGCAATAGCTGCATATGCCAAAGTCCCTCTGATCCTCGGTGATTCCCAAGGTCCTACCACTCATCATGTATTCCCTTGCATTGATGATGCTGCCCAAGTACATCACTTTTCACTCATCAGGATTGAATTCTATTCACCACTGATCAGCCCATTTATATTCTCCTGTAATCAAGGCTATCCTTCTCACAACTTACCATCCCAATTTTCATATCGTCTGCAAACTATCCTACATTCAAGTCTAAAGCATTTATACATATCACAAAATAGCAAGGATCCCAACACTGATTCCTGTTGAACCTCACTAGACAAGCTTCCAGTCACAAAAACACCCCTTGACCATCACCCTCTGCTTCCTGCCACGCAGTCATTTCTGGATCTGATTAGCCAAAATTTCCTTGGACCCTGTAGGTGCTAAGCTTTGCTATCAATCTCCCAGGCGGAACCTTGCTGAAGTCCAAAACAGACTATGTTGAACGCATTGAGTATTTTAAAGAGATGAGGGCAATCAAGTTGGTCATACATGATTTCTCCTTAACAAAATCATGCTGGCTGTTCTTGATTAATCCTGCTTCTGATTGAATTTTTTTGTGGATATAAGTAACCTGTAGGGTGAATAAGGAGGAGTGAGTGCATGTGGTTTACTTGGATTATAGAAGGCTTTCGATAAGGTCTGATAAGAGCAGAGGTCCCACATAAGAAAGTAACATGCAAAATTAAAGTGCATGGGACTGAAATATGTTAAGAAGTGGTCAGCAGACAAGAAGCAAAATTTAGGAATAAACAGGTCTTTTTCTGAATGGCAGGCAGTGACTCGTGGGGTGGGGTAGTGCAGGGATCAGTGCTTACAACCTAGTTATTCACATAAAAAAAGTGTGTGACTGTGTCTATGTGTGTACATACCCATGTATGTGTGTAGATGCATGGTGTACATGTGTATAACTATATATTACTCACACGCACGCACACAAATATAGATAAGGAAATACATGTGATGTGTCCACATTTGGAGAAGACAGAGCTGAGTGGGACAGTGAGCTGTGAGAAGGATGCAGAAAAGCTTCATAGTGACTTGGACAAGTACATGGCAGATCCAGTATAATGTGGATAAATGTGCGGTTATCCGTTTAGGTAGTAGCGAAGACAGGCAGATTATCCGAGTGGCAATAGACTAGGAAAGAAAAGAGGTACAACAAGACCTGGGTATCTTTGCACGCCAGTCACAGGAAGTAAGCATGCAGGCGCAGCAAGTGATGAAGGCAGCAAATAGTATGTTCACCTTCTTAGTGAGAGGATTAATGTACAGGAGCAGGGATATATGGTTATATCTACATAGGGCATTGGAAAAGTGTGATAAGTTGTGGTCTCCTTATCTGAGGTAGGATATTGTGGCTATTGAACAATTGAGACGATCGTTCACCAGACAGATACCTGGGTGCGACGGAATAGTGCGTGCGCACACGTCCTTGTGCGTAACGAACTAGATTTAAAGGATCAGGAAATACTATAAAGAGAAAGGGTGAAGGAGGGTGTTCAACATCAAATCAATTATAGAAGAAATGTGCGCGTAGTCTGAATTTAAAAAATTTCAAATTTGACTTTTATAAAATCTCTCAAAGCTTCAAAATTTGAAGGAATTAGGTATACTTGTAACAGTTCAGAGAGGTTGATGTGATGATTTCCAACTAAAAAGGCCATCACAATTACTAACTGCAAATAGCCATGGTAGGTTTAGTTGACGTCTGCTACGCAGACACCGTTAACATGAACATTGCGAAGTTGCTGCAAGGCTTAAAGCAATATGCCATTTTTATGAAGTTGCACAACACAGAAGGCAACTTTTGAACATTTGCTCTTAAACATGGATAAGACAACATCATTAGCTTAATTTCTTTAAATACAAGTTCTAGGTTCAATACAATTTCAACACCCAACTATGCACACCCTCTCACACAAATGTAATACTTACTGCTTGCATTGTCTTAACCCTGGAGCCAACCATGTTTGCAGAAAAGGCATCACGGTCTTCTTGGGAAATTTGCAGCCAGTCCCACAGGTTAATTATTTGATTTCTCAGCTCTGAGCATTTGCTCTCATTCTGACCTCTCTTCATCTCCAACTAGAAAAATATACATCACAATTAATTATTGGCACACTCCCATCAGGCACAAGGACACAACTGAGATCATTTGTATTTTAGTGTAGAAGAAAAGCTGTCAGCTATAGCAAAGAGATATAGGTGACAACATTTGCATATTTAATACCTTATCTATAACACTGCCAGAAAGTTAAATACAAAAATGTGAGTTTTATAAACATTTTGGAGGTGTGCTCAAAGGGCATTGCTGCTAGTTCAAACACAGAATGAAGGTATTTTGATAATGTGCCTAGAATTCAACTTAAGAGCAAGTGCACCACTCTACTGTTTCATTTAATATATCAGTCATTCTTGCAACTGCAGAAATTGTTAACACAGCACCCATTGATATTGAACTAGGGAATGCCTTGCCTTGGAACGGAGAGCCTGGGAAAAGATGGAAAACATCCCAGGGTCAGTTCACGTAAAACACCTCAGTTAGCAGGAGACACAATCTCAGTAAGTGCTGGATTCAGAACCAGCCACAGACAAGGTGAATGTAATCATGCACAGGTGACAAGCACAACAACGGCAACATTCACATTTCATTAACGAATGCTTTAAAAAGTCTAATGCTAGGCTTCTAGAAGGTAGTGCAATATACACTTAAAATTGTCAAGGCCTTCAGTCTATGATGTTACCAAATGAGTTGACCTTATAGGTTAGGGAGTAGAAACAATTTATTTTGTGTATAAAGCCATGATTGTATTGAATGGCAAAGCAAGCTTGATGAGAATGAGGGAGAAGAAAGGACAGCAGTAATAAAAACTGGATACAAAGATGAAGAACAGCCCAGGGGAAGGGGTAGTGCACTGGTCCACAATTATTTTTAAACAAACATTCCACAAACTGCTGATTTCATCTAAAAGTAAAAATACTGTAGATGCTGGAAATCATGTTCCGTTATGGGCTTTGGGCGACCCCATCTTTCAACAGTTCAAAATCAATAATTAACTAAAGCACCGAGAGGTTATGAAACAAATATAGAAATGTAGAAGATAGGAGCAGGAGGAGTAATTTGGCTCTTCGAGCCTGCTCCACCATTCTTCACAATCATGGCTGATCGTCTAATTCAATAGCCTAATCCTGCTTTCTCCCCATAACCTTTGATCCCTCTTGCCCCACGTGCTATATTTAGTCGCCTCTTGAATACATTCAATGTTTTGGCATCAACTACTTCCTGTGGTAATGAATTCCACAGGCTCACCACTCTTTGGGTGAAGAAACATCTCCTCGTCTCCATCCTAAATCGTTTACCCTGAATCCTCATACCGTAACCGCTGGTTCTGGGCACACCCAAAGAACCACATCTTCGGACAACCAATTTTATTTATATACCTGTTGAAGAAGTGTTTTCAGACCGATAATATTCTCATTGGACAGACAGAAGGCATCTTCATCCTCACACACAATGTCTCTCTCAAAACTGGTGTCTGGCAGTTGGTCAAGTTCCTCCATACAAAGAATGATTTTTTTCTTTGTTTCAATAAACTCAGCTCTTCTCCGTCCCTAAAATCAAAACAAAAGAAAGAACCAAAAAAGGTATATCGGAGAACATAACAGTGCAAAATTTCACATCTGCCTGAATATCATCCAGTACAATTTTATTTATATGGCGTAGGCAAATAGTAATTTGTACGTTAGGTTAACTTGTATAGCAAATTTTATAAGAGGGAACTGGTGGATGCGTACCTGGTTTCACACATCACATTCTCTCAGTTCCCAACCACTGCCCCTGTGCTGCTGCACCCCGGCCACCACCACCATCTTGTTCACCTGCTTCCCTCATTATCCCTCTCTGCTTAGATGCCTGAAGCGATCCCTGCTCCTCCCATGATTCCTAAACTCATTTGCCTGCTGCCACCCCATCCACACCCACCCCCACCCTCATCTTGCACTCTTCATTCTGGACCACCGGCCTTATCAATCAAGGCTGAGCTAGAAGGACAAGACACCCGACCCATGACCCACAGAATCATCACTAACTGCATACTTCTCTCTAAGCTACATACCCTTCTGACTCAGAACTATTATCATCGATTGTCACCATTACTGAGTGTACCTATACCACAGGGTCCGCTGTGGCTCAAGACAGCAGCTCACCACTTTCTCAGAGGCAATTAGGGATAAAGGAAAAATAAATAACTTCTAGTCTCGCCAGCAACTTTCAAAACGCAAAGAATTTGCAAAAAAATTAGTCAAGAAGTTCAATTGATTTAACATCTGTAGCTGTTTGAGTAGACAAACAGTTCAGATCTCAATGGCATAAATTCATTTATACTGAAAATAATAGGACATTTGTAAACTGGCTGAAACCACTTTCAAACTTTATACAGAGATAAATCTGCATCAAGATCTTAAATTTCTCTTCACCTTCTCTACATTAAGTGAAGCAATGTGTTCATGAAATGCATCAAGTTGTTCAAGACTAGGGACAGTGTCAGCATCAATAGGGTAGGCTGTTGTACAGAGAATGTCACAGAGCTCCTCATCTTGTTCTTTAAGGCTCTTCAATTTCAGCATCCTCTCTTTCTTCTGCTTCAGAAGGACCTCCAATCGTGTCCGCAGATCTTTCTCCAGTTGCAGCATCGTGCAATCTTCTTCTGGCTGTGACATATAAAAAGTTTAAACTATTAATTAGTGGGAAAATAGCTATTTTTCTCCCCTTTTCCCCCAAAGCCTTGCTCAAAAGGAAAAGTGATTTGTAGTAAAATTTGTCCTACCATGCAAACAGCCAAATTGAGTTCCTGGCACACAGCATGGAGTTCCTTCTGGCACATATCAATGCTCTTTTTCAGCCGCTGCCTCAGGTTTTCTTCCTCTGCGATCATCATATCCAATAACCCCTGTGCGAAAATGGAAAAATGAGTACAAGTCACATGCTGCAATTTGCACCAGAGGTGAAAAAGGTTGTAGACAATGAAGGTTCAATTCATTTTGACAGAATTGTTTTCTTTAAAGATGTGCACCCAACATATTAAAAACAAACAAAAATACATGCAGATTGAACAGTTCACTATGGGCAGCAAGTTCACAATGGGCAGCAAATAAGATCAGCAGAGGTTAAGTCATCCTTCAAGCCCAGAACCCATCAAGAAATATTTGGTAACACCAAGCATTCTGGACATTTACTTGCTGTTGTAAAATAACAGTAGCTTAAGAGTTTAGTGTAACTTTCATCTGGGCCATTCCAGCTAATATTCATCGGCATTTGGAAAGGAGCCACATGTAAACACAATGAACAATGAATAACAAATTAGCTTAAATCACAGAAGGACCATTCTGTATCTCACTGTTGGAAAGTAAACAGATACTGAAATTAGAACGCAAAGGCAGATAAAAAAACCTTAAGTTTCAACAGTTAAAGGATGCATCTTATGTTTCAGTAAAGCTCAAGTTAATTCTGATAATTTTTTGCTCTTGCCTTGATATGCTTTTTAACAACTTCAGTTCTTTGCAATCGTTGATCTTCTGGAATCCCGATCTCTTCCCAGATATTCCGGAGATGGGCAAGTGCTCCATTGAGACAGGTCACTGACTCTGTGGCCAGAGCATCACTGCAGAGCAGCAAAATACCAGAATAACTTATGCGTAAAATTGATTGTATCTCAAATCAATACAGAAAATCCAATAAATCAAAGCATCAGAAAAGCACACACAAAAGTCTTACAAAAAATGAAAAACAGGTGCTCATTATCGTTTGTTCAGGACTCAATGTCAGAAAAGCAAATACTGTTGCCTACAGCTCAGGCTCTGCTCGGCACTATTTTACTGACACTACCGTTCTTGAAAGAAATTTCACTCTCTCTGGATGGAACATTCATCCAAATTAAACATGGCCAGAATAATGGAAAAGTGTCCAAACCACTAGATATACAAATAGGACCAAGAGTTCAATCACAATGGTAGATTAAAATCTAAAGTTAAACACGAAATTTTGCTGATTTTTCAAAAGAAAAACAAAACAAACAAACAAACAAACAAACAAACAAACAAACAAACAAACAAACAAACAAACAAACAAACAAACAAACAAACAAACAACTTGACCTATCGGGTCTGCTCCATCATTCAATACTTCACCTTCTCCCAGACCTCTCTCTCACCCTGTCCTTTCCATCCTTCCCTCCCTCCCTCTACCTCACACCCAACTCACCAGTCCCCTCACCTATGTACAGGACCATCATGTTCCTCTGAGATCGCAAAAACTGCAGATGTTGCAGCCAGAGACAATACGGTGTGGAGCTGGAGGAACACAGCAGGCCAGGCAGCAAAGGAGCAAGAAAGTTATGTTTCGGGTCAGTACGCTTTTTCTGAGGAAGGGCCGCAATCCAAAATGTCATCTTTCCTGCTCCTCTGTTGCTGCCTAGCCTGTGTTCCTCATTTTCTTCTCCCACTTCCCCCTCCATCCCTTCAGTACCACTCTCTTTCTTCCACTCTGTCATGCCCATCCCTATATTCCACCCACTCCTCCTTCATCCCATCTCTCCCCAATCCACACTACCCTGCCTCTTTCCCTCAACTCACCCTCTTCTCCCCTCCCTCTATCCTTCCTACCACTCCTCCTTTGTTCATCTGCAGTTCCTGAGATCTAATTTAGGGCAGGTTAAATAGCTCCGTTAGACCTTGTCCTTGGTGTAGAATTCACTTTTTGCAAAATTTTCATTCTTAGAAGGAGAATTTTAAAATTGTAGATTTCTGCACAAGAGTCCTGTAGAATGCTCTACATTTGAAAGAACAAGAAACATCCTAACACCAGTGCATGGAAAAGTAAATAATTGCTATTAACAAACTTTGAACTGCAAAAAATGACATAGAAAACAATGCAGAATGTCAGTCTAAAGACAGTTAAAATGAGTCAACACCTTTCTTGCTCCAGAATTTGAAAATTTTATTGTCAATGGCTGGCTGGAGAGGCACACCCAAAGTTTAGTCAATTACACAAAACATCAGGCATATTTTACGGTTCCCTCGAAACTGCGCAATTAATATTACACGGAGATATTGGACAGTTGTAGGTTTCTGCTAATGCTACACCAACAGGTGCCATCCAGTTCATGGACAAATATAATTATAGTCACTTGGAGCACTTTTGATGATGATAACTTTGTAACTGCAATCTCCAAATGTAAGACAACTCTCTTGTCGGTGGTGGTTTTCAATGCCAGACATAGCTGCACTGCTTTCTCTCATCTAACACCTTTATAAAGCCAGGGCCCCACTTGCTGGCATCAAGGTCACATTCTGATGAAATAATTCCATTTACAATCCAATGTGTAAAACCCAACTTTGAATATACAGAGTGCAAAAAAAAGCAAAATACAGATACCCAATTTTATTCCAACAAGTTCAACTTTATATCTGAAATCTTAAGGCATAGCGTTTAACCGGTTTTCTTAGCTGTGAGGGAATCTGCTGCAAAAAAAAGGCTAAAAGTAAGCAACATAAAGGCTGACCGATTAATAGCAAACTAAGTGGATACACTTTGGTGGGGGGTGGTAACTTGAGAGGTTTGGGAGCACGTTGGTTGTTTGGGAAGGTTGGGGGGGGTGGGGGGAACATTGTAAATGTGTTTGGGGCAGAGAGGATGGGGGTGGGGTGTTTCTGTGATGGGGCGTTGGGAGGTTCAGGATGAGGAGGAGGGGGGGCGTTGGGAGGTTCAGGAGGAGGAGGAGGAGGAGGAGGAGTGCTGGGGGTATTGGAAGACCAAGGAGTGGGTGTTGCGATACTGGCTCCTTGCCTTCTCTCCCGCCCCCCCACCCCCTTACCTTTTCCTCACCATCCCGCGACTCCGCTCCCTCACTGCCGGTCAGTTTAACGGGAAATCACTGTGTCCGATCTCTCTCAATCACTCTCCCTCCAGTTCACGGACTGTCCGCTTTCACGGTGTGTGTCTCTCGGACTCCCTGTCCCTAGGTGTCCCGGTGTCTCTCGGTCTCGGACTCCCTGTCCCCGAGTGTCCCGGTGTCTCTCGGTCTCGGACTCCCTGTCCCCGGGCGTCCCGGTGTCTCTCGGTCTCGGACTCCCTGTCCCCGGGCGTCCCGGTGTCTCTCGGTCTCGGACTCCCTGTCCCTGGGTGTCCCGGTGTCCAGTCACTCTCTCCAAGACCGTTGCGGCCGTTATTCTCATTCGATTCAAATTTTCCAACCGCCAGCCCGATGGAAGTTTCCATTGGCTACGTCGAGGTTGCATCATAACGTCAACGCGAATCGGCGCATGCGTGCGATCTCCCTTACGGGAGGAGGCTATTCAGTCTCTCTAGCCTGTTCTACCATTCAGTCAGATCATCACTGAACTTACCTGCCTTTAATGACAAAAGTGACTTATGTTTACATCTAAGTAGGAAACATGGAAGTAAGGATTAAGATTAGGCCAGTCGGCCCATCAAATCCACTCCACCATTCAACGTGAAGATGACTGATATTTTATCTCAACACCATAAGTCCTCCCTCCGTACCGCTTTAGTCTCTACAAAACTAGTTTGTTAAAATATTTCGTAACTCGGTCTACACACCCTTCTGTGCTAGAGAATTCGAGAGGTTCACCACCTGGAGTTAAGAAATTTTCCTCATCTCAGTCCAAAATTGCCTCCCCTATATGATGAGGCCATGACCCTTGTTATAGACACCCCAAGCCAGGGGAAAGGACCTCTACTCTGTCCAGCCCTGTCAGGCTTTTATAAGTTTCAATGAGATCCCCTCTCATTCTTACAAAGTCCAGTGAATACAGGGTCAGTCAACCCAATCTCTCCTCTCATGTCAAACTTGTTATTTCCACGGATCAGTTGAGTGAATCTTTTCTGAACTCCCTCCAAGGAAAGCACATGTTTTCTTAGGTAAGGAAACCAAAACTGCACACAATACTCCATGTGTGGTCTCATCAAGACCCTGTACAGCTGCAGCTACGAAGAGTCGGACTGTACGATGAAAGGTACTCTGATTTTAATAAAAAAAATAACAGGAGCATCGGAAATTAAGAGGACTAGGCCATTCAGTTCCTTCCATTTATGATTGATCTACCTCTGCCATTTTAACACACTATTCTCCTAATACTTGATATCTTTCATTAAAGCAGAGAAGACTGAGGGGGTTCATGATTGAGGTTTATAAGATTATGAGAGGTATGGACAGGGTGCATAGACAGCAGCTGTTCCCTTTGGTTGAGGGGTCAGTCACGGGAGGGCATAGTTTTAAGTTAAGGGGCAGGAGATCCAGAGGAGATTTGTGAAAAAAAAATTATAACTCAGCAGGTGATGCACTGCCTGGTTAGGTAGTGGAGCTTGGAAACCTTACGACCTTTAAAAAATATTTGGATGAGAACATCAAATATCATAACATTCAAGGATATGGGATAAGTGCAAGAAATTAGGATTAACACATCTTTGGTGGTAGATATGTTGGTGCAGAATCAATGGACCAAAGGGCCTTTTCCACACTGTATTAATCCATAAGTGAATCTTTTGAAGAGTATAAGAAGTGTAGGGACATTATTAAGTGGGAAATCAAGGGGGAAAAAGGGCGATACGAGGGCCTTGGCAGACCTAGACAATGATAGGGAGAGGTGAAATATTTACTTGCTGACTGGCCTACTTTCTTTCCAAGTTCTCTTTATATAAAAAGTATGTCATTGACAGAGGCTTGGTGGCAAGTTGGTTGCTTGCCTCTGGCAAATGGTGGCAAGGAAAATTTTGAAGTTTTTGAGTCTCGCTGAAAAGAGAAACAAGTTGCTAAAGGTGTTTGTCTTGTGTTCATCAAGGATAATGCAAGAATTCCTAATTTCAAAGTATCACCACGATTTATACTACAGGGGAAAAGGGTGTAATTAGGTTAGCAAGTCAGATTACCAACTTGTGTTTGTCCTGATGAGTTCTAGCAAAAAGCTTTGGCAGCACAACTCACTTTGCAAGGATATTTAAGATCTGTAACACCATGTGCCTGTTTCAGGTCTGTATAAAGTGCACATTAGCAAATTGATACAATGGTGAACCTCCTCATATGTGGATATCCCTGAACACCCTTGATCAGTATTTCATTTGACGAACAAGCTTCCAAGTTACATTTTTGCTGACAGGGCATAGGCAGGGCTGGAGAGAAGTGGGATGTAAGGGGGAGGGTGGTGTTTGCTGGAAAAGTGATCTCTGTGCCTCTTTCTTTAAGCTAAGAAAGCATTCAGGCAGGGTTCTGATAATTGCTGACTGACCCTTGTTGGAAGTGCCAGTGTGAAGATTTGGTCAATCTTGGCTGTGGCACCTAATGACCTTAATAATCCTGCTTACTATCTGACTTTTCACTCAAGAATTTTTTTCCAGAAAGAATCATTTGGTACTGTGAAATGAAGAAACTGTTCAAGCCATTTCTTTATTGTCCTAGGCAAGGAGGATTTATGATGTAATTATTATTTATTGTCTTGGAAAAGAACTTGGCAGGAGACACTTGTTTTGTATTTGGATTTGACACTGCTCATGTAGACTCTGATTTGATTAACATTTTGGTTCTGCATATACACAACAGGCAGTAGAACATAAAAGTTGTAAAAAGCCTTTGTTATCTTGGTAGCTTGTAGTTGTACATTTAAGCGCTCAGAGTACTACCCAATCTGATTTTCCTAGCTTTGTTGGGTTAGCACCTTCAGCATTAAGTACTTGATGGATCAATAGGAAGGGTTTAGAAGGATATGGGCCAAATGCTGGCAAATGGGACTAGATTATTTCAGAATACCTGTCGGCATGGACAAGTTAGACCATGGGGTCAAGTTAGACCCCCAAAGGGTCTGTTTCCAAACTGTACACCTCCATAACTCAATAAGGCTAAGGATAATCCAAAGAGATTCTATAAGTGCATTAAGAGCAAAAGGGAGAGAATTAGGCCTGCTAAAGATCAACGAGGTTGTCTACATGTGGAACCACAGGAGATGGGAGAGATACTAAATGAATATTTTGCATCAGTTTTTACTGTGGAGAAAGAAATGGAGGCTAGGAAGCTCAGACAAATAAATCTTGATGTCTTGAAAATAGTCCATTCTACAAAAGAGGAATTGCTGGAGGTCTTAAAAACATAAAGATGGATAAATTTCCAGGACCTGATCAAGTGTATCCCAGGACTTGTTGGAACTTAGGGAAGAAATTATAATCTCCAGCCACGGGTGAAGTGCCGGACGACTGGAGGCTGTTGTGTCTTTATTTAAGGAAGGCTATAAGAAGAAAAGTGGGAACTATACACTTGGGAGTCTAACATTGGCGGTGGGTAATTTGTTGGAGGGGTTTTTGAAAGATAGGATTTACATGCATTTGGAGAGGCAAGGACTTATTAGGGATAGTCAGCGTGGCTTTATGCTTGGGATGTCTGACTCACAAACTTGGTTCAGTTTTTTCAGGACGTAATAAAGAAGATCGATGAGGGTGGAGATTGTCTACATGGACTTTAGTAAAGCCTTTTACAGAGTTTTGCATGGTAGACTAATTAGTAAAGCTCCATCACATGGGATTCTGGCAGAGCTTGCCAATTGGATATAAAATTGGGCTGACTGTCGGAGACAGAGGTTGGAAGCGGAAGGTTGTTTTTCAGACTGGAGGCCTGTGACCAGCAATTTTCTGCGGTGATCAGTGCTGGGTCCACTTTTGTTTGTCATTTATGTAAGTGATTTGGATGAGGCATGGTTAGCAAGTTTGTGGATGACACCAAAATTGGTGGTGTAGTAGACAATGAAGTAGGATGTCTAAGATTACAAAGGGATCTTGATCAATTGGGCCAGTGGGCTGAGGAATGGCAGATGAAGTTTATTTTGGATAAGTGCGAGATGCTGCATTTTGGTAAAACAACGTCAGGATTTATACAGTTAATGGTAGGGCTCTGGGTAGTGTTGTTGAACAAACAGATCTAGGGGTTCAGGTACATAGTTCTTTGAAATTTGCGTAACAGGTAGACAGGGTGGTTATGAAGTATTCAGAACACTTGCCTTCATTTCTCAGACCATTGATTATAAAAGTTGTACAGGACGTTAGTGAGGCCACTTTTTGAGTACTGTGTACAGTTCTGATCGCTCTGCTATAGGAAGGATAGTATTCAATTGGAGAGAGTTCAGAAAAGATTACCAGGATGTATAGAGGAATTGAATTATAAGGATAGGCTGGATAGGCTGGGACTTCGTTTGACTGAAGCATAGGAGGTTGAGTGGTGACTTAATTGAGGTTTATAAAATCACGAGAGGCATAGATAAGGTGAATAGCATAGGGTGGGGATGTTCCAAACTAGGGGGCATAGGTTTGAGACGAAAAGGATTTAAAAGGGACCTAAGGGGCAACTTTTTCACACGGAGGGTAGTTAGTATGTGGAATGAACTGCCAGGGGAGGGTAGAAGCAGATACAGTTATAACATTTAAAAGACATTTGGATAGATATGAGAAAAAGAATGGTTCAGAAGGATACGGGCCAAATGCAGGCAGGTGGGACTAGTTCAGTTTGGGAAACTCGGTCAAAATGAACTAGTTGGACTGAAAGGTCTGTTTCTGTGCTGTATGACTCTAGAAATCTATCAATCTGTCTCTCTAACACACTTGACAACTGAACCTCCACAGCCTTTTCAGGTGGAGAATTCCAAAGATTCATCAGCCTCCAAGTGAAGAAATTTCTCTTCACCTAAACCCAAAATGGTCAACCCACTATTCTGACAGAGATAGTAGGAACTGCAGATGCTGGAGAATCCGAGACAACAAGGTGCAGGGCTGGATGAACACAGCAGGCTTGTTTTAGTTAAAAGCTGTTTTTAAACAAATATGTGTCAATTCTCACAGAGGATGTAGAAAACTAATGATGAAAATGAAAGTAGAGACAACTTCAAATCTATCGCAAACTAGCAAAATCACAGCAACCACATAATAGTTTGTGT